TGCTCCTGAACACCTATGCGGGACAGCCTCCGGGAAGACAGCGCTGTTGGGAGAAGAGGCCAGGGGCTCAACAGAAGCTGGATTTAGTTAGGGTACATGTTTATATGGGCGGCAGCTCTAAGGTTGGTGGAGATGGGCGCTGATGGCTATGGAGAGACCTCAGACCACCTCCTGGCACGGTTCCCTCTCACAACCGAATTTGTTTATTCCACCGATGATTCAAGGCGTGAAAGATGCAGAGAAGAACCGTGGGAAAGATATTTTAGGAAAGCCGTGATGGTGGTAGAAGACAAGACACACAGAGATACCGCTGGACCCCAATAATTTAACATCTACGATCCTTGCAGGGGAATACAGTTCAGACTTCAAGCCTATATTTCCATTTTTATCCATGCAAATAGGAAAACAGTAGTGAAGGGGAAAGATACAGTAGGAATGAGATTCTTTAGCTTTATCAAGGAAAAGGGAGAGAAAGCATTCATCGCTGTCCAATCTAACGGGGACATTGAGTAAATAATGACGAGCATATATTCTCTACGACTGGGGTAGACACAACACAAGAAAACAGACTGTAGCCACAGCCAGAGGGGACACGGGTGTGGGTACCAGAATTCTCTTAGGAGGCCTGTAGAACAGGGATGGTCTTGTTCCAATACGGCCGTGCAACCCCGAACCTCACCGTGTTCCCACTGCCTTGGGCACAGCCAGACACCTTGACCTAACACACCCACACTGCAGTCTGGCCTGGTGTGGAGGAGACAGACCAGCCGACAGCTTGACCGCAACCTCGAGAGAGACCACAAGCTGGAACAAGCCGGATCTGCCGTTGCTGAATTGCTGACCTACAGGATAGTAACGCTTATCGTTGTCGTAAGCTGCTAAGTTTCGGCTGATCCGTTACACAGTAATCAATAACCCACACAACCACCCACAGAGCAGAAGGGGAGGAATGATTTGGGCAAGGGAGCAGTTGAGCCACGAGAACTCTGCTGACCCTGGGAGAGCTTCTGGAGCTGGGACGACTCTCTGGTCACAGTTACTCTTTATTTAAACTATAGCAATTTAAATTTTTTGCCCTACTGATCATCCCATATCAGTAGTATACAAATGGCTTCCTTATTCTTTTCCACAGCTATACAGTACTCCACTGCGTGGAGGAAGGTGTCATTATTTACGCAATCTCCTGTTGAGGGACATTTAGATGATCGTGATGTCTCCAAACATGCTTCAGGGCGCCTGGGTGTGTGATCCTGCTGTGCCCCAGGGCAGGGAAGCACGGAGCAAAGGCCCGGAACTGGCCCTGCTGACACCAGCCTTCCCGCTCCTGGGCTAGCTCTGCTGGAGGAGACACCTGCTCCTCAGGCTTCATGCGCCGCCCCCTCGGGGCTCCCACCCACGTGCTGGGACCTCCCCCTGCTGGGAACTGCCTGGAGACCCCCCTGCACGCGTCACACAGGGGCACTTCATGTGAGCTCACAGAAAATGCCTCAACACCTTATGGTGAGTCACATAAAGACATTCAAAGAGAACTGTCTCGACAAGTCCCCCGCTGTGTCCTGCACAGACTTCCAGGCCAGAGGGAAGTTCTCAAGCACCTAGCATGGTAAGACTCTGTGAGGGGCTAAAAGAAATGATAGGACACTTGGTCCTTACTCTCTAGGAGCTGGAAGTCAAGTCTACCCACAGTTGGGACCCAGAAGAGGTGAATCCAGTCCGCTGGCTCTTCTCCCTCCCTGATAGAGCTCCAGTTCCAGGGGAGACACTGCCCGAAGGTCACTGAGGACACCGTCACACTCTGGTGGTCTCCTTCCGCTCCCTCCTCCCTCTCTGTCTCTTTCTCTCTCTCTCTCTCTCTCTCTCTCTCTCGCTCACACACACACATTTTGTGATAAAGTAAAATTACACCATTATGAACAGAAGACTCTGGCTGAATGACCTGGGTTTCATTATCTCCATGTAATTCTTTAATCTGGAGTGAGTGTTTTCGTTTGTTTTGATACAATGCACACATGTATTTCCATACATCTAGTATTTCAGTGGTTTTCAAACTATTTTGACCATAACCAACAATAAGAAAAACATTTACCTTACAATCCATCCAACCATCCATCCATCTATATACATCTATATACATCTAAAAAAAAGTATTGCCAGAAGCCTTTAGCCTTATTAGGCATAACCCTCTTGAATATTTTCTATTCTATTTCATTTTATAAAAATGCTGGTCTTGGGGCTGGCCTGCTGGCATAGCGGTTAAGTTTGCATGCTCTGCTTCAATGGGCTGGGGTTCGCTGGTCCGGATCCTGGGTGTGGACATACGCGCCGCTCATCAAGCCGCGCTGTGACAGGCATCTCCCATATACAAAATAGAGGAAGATGGGCATGAACGTTAGTTCAGGGTCAGTCTTCCTCAGCAAAAAGAGGAGGATTGGCAGCAGATATTACTCAGGGCTACTGCTGGTGATTGGCATCTGAAGTGGGGGTGGGGGCAGTCTTGTGGACCTGAGCCCTTAACCTGTGGGATCTGATGCTGACTCCAGTAGACAGTGTCAGCATTGAGTTGAATTGTAGGACATCCACCTGGTGTCAAGAGAATTGTAGGAAAACCCCCACATCTGGTGTCTGAAGTGTCGTGAGTGGGGTAGTCGTGGGAAAGTAAAGGAGAAACCCAGGAGGAGGCTGCTACTGAGAAACCCGCATTCTAGTGTTGACTCGACACGTTTGCCAGGGGAGGGGGTTGAGGGGTGGGTCTCAGATGAATCCTCCCGTCTCTTCCGACAAATGTAAGTTCTTGGACATTTCCCAGCTTCCCAGTGAGCAAACCCAAACGGGTGAGGGCTTCGAACATTTTCAGTCCAGTATAAACGTAAGACTTGACTCTCCAGAATCCTTCTTAAACCACGTGCCTTATGAGAGAAATGTTACCCTTCGCTGCTTAGATAATAGAAAGAAACCACTGGAGGGCACGACCCGTGTTGCAGGGTTCTTAGAATACGCAGCACTCAAGACCTTCTGCGAGGTTACCTGGTAAAGCCCGGAAGAGGAACTTCCAGTGCCAGGGAGACACTTAAAATTTGGGGGAGGCATCTGGGTTGGCAACCTCGGCTAGTACCACTGAAAGCATTTGGGTGTTGTTTCAATAGCTGTTAATATCGTCCATAGCTAATTTACATGAGTAGGAGTCTAGAATCACGGCCTCAGCAGGAACTGAATTATTCTGCTTACAGTTTGGGAACTTCCTATGTAACTGATGTGTTGTTGCTTATTAGGGAGTCATATTAACGACCTCAAGGTCATCTGGGACAGTGACCATGTCTGTGTCTCCAGAGCTCCCAGCACAGGGCCTGTCTCAGAGCATGTGCTCAACAAACAGTCCTTGAATCAGTAGATGAAGTTGTGGATTCCCCGTTTTTATTGCAAAGAGGAAAATAATGGCTGGCAAATACCACAGACAAATTTTTAACTTTGAGAGTAAGCATTGAGGTTTTGAGGAATGAACAGTACTCCACAGTTTTAGAAGGTCAGTCCAGGCTCTGATCACAAATCAACTTGTGTCAGGACTAAGTCAACCACATTGGCTTTTTATCTACAGACAAACCAACAAACGTCTCATAGAGGTTTAGTGGGTTTTTGTTTGTTTGTTTGGACGTTTTTACAGTTTACCGTTTGCAACCTTGGACAAAGAGATAGACAGTTCCTGGCAGCGTGAATCCTGGTCGGACATACGCTTTGCCACCTGCATGAGCACACGTGTTGCCATCGCCCACCCACCCACATGGAAGACACAGGGCTCGCCTACCATTCACAGACAAGTCCCAGGAAAGAGTAAGATCAGAGGCCAAGAGAAAAAAACGGACAGCGTAAACAGAATAAAACAATTGGAGTAAAGACTTCCATTTAAAATCAAGCAGGGTCCTTGTCCTTTGAAGGGTAGGAGGCGCAAAACAACAGCAAGACGGCAGGAATAAACCCACGCAGATCCCCGGGGCATCCAGTTTCCATTCACAAGGAAAAAGCTCTGGTCCATCTTTTATTTTCTCTTTTGATATTCATGAGAAAAAAAAACAGGGGGATTGTAAAACTAAATATGGATCTCAGCATTAACAGTAAAGAAATTTAAATGTTTTATCTTAAAAATTACAATCACAATGAGATAACACTTCACACGCATGAGGATAGCTATTGTCCAAGAAATGGGAAATTGAAAGCATTGGTGAGGATACGGAGAAACTGGAACCTCTGCGCATTGCTGATGGGAATGCAAAATGTGGAAAACAGTTTGGCAGTCCCTCCAAAAGTTAAACCTAATATCACCATAAGACCTAGCAATTCCACTTTTAGGTATACACCCAAAAGAATTGAAAACAGGGACTCAGACAGATATTTCTACAGCCATGTTCACAGCAGCATTATTCACAATAGCCAAAAGGTGGAAACAACCCAAGTAACTGTTCATTACAAGACAGATGAGTGGATAAACAAAATGTGGTGTAGACATACGATGGAATATCACTCAGTCGTAAAAAGGAAGGAAGTACTGATACACCTTACAGCAAGGAAGAACTTTGAAAACATTATGCTGAGTACAGTAAGCCAGACACACAAACAGCACGATTCCACTTCCATGAAGTTATCCAGGGCAGTCAAACTCACGGGGACAGAGAGTAGAACCTAGGTTACTGGGGGCTGGGGAAGGGGAGGGCAGGGAGCTAGTGTCTAGTGGGTGCAGAGTTTCTATTTGGGACGGTGAAAAATCTGTGGAAATGGATAGTGGTGATGGTTATACAACATTCTGAATGTACTTAATGCTGCTGAATTGCATACGTAAAAATGATTAAAATGGTGATTTTATGTTACGTATATTTTACCACAATAAAAAAAGAATATATTGCAAAACCTGTGAACGTGCCAATTACACTCACAATGTGTACAAACAGCACCACCAGCCGCTCCCCCAGATCAGATCTTCCTTAGCGCAGAGTGAGGGGAAATGCGATCCGCCCGTGTTCACCCGCTGCTCAGCTGGTGGGCTCAGCTGGCCCGGAATAGCTTTGCTACACCAGGAACTGCGGGAGATGGGAGCTGCCACTTGGTTTCCAAACCCAGTGGACTAGCTCTTCCACCACACAGGGCTGTGGGGGAAGCCGGGGCTGCGTTCACCAGCTGCCCACTCACTCAGCTCCTCTTTACTGAGCAGGGGTTTAGGGTGGAGGAACTGGTTCCGCTGCCTGGCTGCCCACCCAGAAGAGGTCATCTGCACGGAGCTGCCACTTGGCTGTCGTGCCCACTGGAATGATCTTCCCCAACATGGATCTGGGTAGGTGGGATGGATACAACCACACCTTCCACTGTTCTAAGGAGTTTATATAGATTTTGTTGAATAACTATTTCTTAAATTGTTGTAAGCCCTTTGGTCAGTCTCTGGAGATTTCGAATGATTGTCTTTGCCGATTTTTACCAGTTTAGTAGATGTCTCTCTGGGGGTGAGAGTTCACTGGAATCCTCACACCACCATTCTGGACGCCCCCTCCTTCTTCGCAGGGTCTTAATGCACCTTAATGGGAAGATGCATATTTTTGAAGAGCAGCATTTTGTACAGGTCCCCTTGAAGGATCTTCCTGGTAAGTTAGTGTATCAATCTTATGCCCTCTCACAGTATCACCAGGAAAAGAGGGGAGAGTGGCCGCAGCCAGTCTCAGGTCTGTGTAAAAACTTGCTGGAGATGGTGCAGTGGTGGCCAAGCCCTTTCTCGGGGATCGAGCAGTCTGAATAAGGTGAAGCATGCGATCAGAGGAACCTGAGATCAAAGGCGTCTCCACAGGAGGGTAAGTGGATTAACAGCGGGGAGGGCACAGAACTTTGGAAAGACAAGCCCTTTGAAATCCACAAAGTCACCTGTGTCTTCAGGTCGGGGCTTCGAGTGACTTCTAGGGGATTAGAGCCGTCAGCAGAGCTAGCTCACAGAGAAGCACCATGCCACTCAACGAACGTTTATCGAATGTCCCCTGGGAGGTGGACACTGGCATTATCTGTTTCTAAGACCCTGCATAACCCTCCTTTGATGTTTGCTTTTTCTTCCTGTAAAGACTTTGCTGTTGCTGGGGATTTCATATTTCTTTTATTTTCAATTGGTTTTTAAAGAGTGAGAAGCGGCGACTGACTTGATGTTGTACGGACAGAGTCTGCGAAACTAGAGCTGAGGACTTTAAAAGTTATTCTGACTCGGATAACCTGCCCCTCTGAGTGAGCTGTTTTCTTCTCTAGACTTGCCGAAGGTGGGGCAGGAAGCCGTCCTTCAACAGTGACAAACAACACCGCTATCGTCTCTGCAAACCCAGAATGATTAATAGGTTTACCTCATTCATCCCCTCATCTGACACAGGTTAGAGACCAGTTTCATTATTACTACTTTCTAGAAGAAACTAAACTATTTGCCAGCGTGCTTAGTATGATGAATTGCTAAACTGAAAGAAGTATTTCATAATCCTTTGCGATGTCTCTTAATGTCTCTCTCGATTTTCCCTCCAAAGATCATTTGCTTATTAAGATCTGCCCTGGGAAAAGCTCGCAGTGCCTATTTCAAATGTCAGCTTAAGATGACTGTTCAGTTGTGATCCAGAACTTTAACGGCCCCTGCACATTGCCTCTCATCTCTGTGTTGTCCTTGAGCTCACCCTCCCTGCCCACGTGCATTCTGAACAGCAAGGATTTCTGGCTGGACTTGTTGTTTGGGTCAAGTTCAGAGAGTGTTCTTGGTTTCTTTCATCATCTAATAAAGACGAGGGCGGAGGTCGGGGGAAGCACGTCTTAGAGATGAAGGGCAAATTGAGATCTTTGGTTCAAAGACTGTGGCTCCATCACTTTCTCTGACTTAGAAATCGTATTCATCCCGCGCTTCCTACTGCAAATCACTCTGGTGCGACGTGACAATGCAGCAGATACACCAGGACTTTTCCCACATCACACTACAAACACAGCCACCCTCTCTGGGGAACCTAAGAGAAACTTTTGGGCTTCCACTTCCCCTCCATTTGTTTGAAGGATCAAGAGAACACAGTTCCATTTTCAACAAAAATTAAAAAGGAAAATCATGAAAAGAGCCAACCTCCTTTTTTTTTCCTCTCTTAATATATTGTTGCATCCAGAGAAGAGGAAACAGTGAGCGCCACTGATACTGGGTCCCCAGAGATCCCATAAGGGTCACTCCCCAGCTGTCACATGAGCGTGCTCTTCCTCCACTTGCAGAGCAGATTCGTAACGGGACTGGAAGTTACTCTTGGCTCAGCTCTGCGGCGTAAAGAAATGAAAAGCCACAATGCTTCAGGGACCTGGGCTGTGCCCACACCTGGGGTTTCACAGGCAGGACAGTTTTCAGCTTTAAGGCTTTGGAGGTTTGGAGAAAGGAGATTTGAAAAACTGAGAGCGATGTTCCTGCTGTCCTCCATAGGCCTGCTAAGAGCTGTGAGCTCCAAAGGGCGGGGACGAACTCCTTCCACACGTTTTTGTTTTTATTTCTTCTTGAGGAGCTGTCTACGGGGCCATAGGCCAATTCACTTGAGGACTCAACATGTGACAGCATGTCGTTTCTTCTGCACTGTTGCAAAATGACATGTGCCCTGAATAAAATTTTCCAGATTACTGGACTGTCCCCCTTTGTGAACCGAATAGCTTAAAATGAAAATGTAGTTGGAGTGCACGTAGTGAATAAGTGTGGCAGAGACGATTAACTGCTCTTTGAGCATGCGACGTCATTATCATGAACATGTATTATTTTCCTGGCTGGATGGAGACGTCCTCAGGGTCTATGGAGATGAAAAGGACTCTTTGCAGCCTCACCTTATGGTCTCGAAGTCCTGGCCTCCTTCCATTGGTTTTCTGATTTCTAACTCTGCGCTCACTTGTCTTCAGTATGCCATTTCTTCCCAGGATCTGTGTCTGAGAAGGTTCATTGTCTTTTCAGTCTCGACTACTTACTTCTTCACCAAGTATCACTCAGAACAAAACTGAGAGAAGCCAGATGGACTTAATTCCACATACATTACTTGGTCAATATGCTCTCTTGCCAGCCGAGTAAGGAGCAGGAGTTTTATGATAGCTGTAAAAATCTAATTTATCCCTTCTGTCATTATGTGAGGAGGTGGACTTCATGGCTCCTCATTTATTTTGTACTTAGAAAAATATGCATTTATCTTATTATTAAAATTTGCCTTCGGTAGAACAAGTTGGTTGGACCTCCAAAACAGAATGTGACCCATCCATTTCTAACTTGTTTGCTGCCTCCTTAACCCGGGCCAATATCATCTCTCACAGACTATTGAAACTGCCTCTTAATGGTCTCCCAGCATCATCCTGGGTTCCTTCCAACCCCTCCTCCACACTCAAGTCAGAACGAGCTTTAGAAAGTGTGAATCTCTTGTTCCACCCATGCTCAGTGGCCTTCCACGTCAGCCACACCTTGCACCACTCCCTCTCCTGCGGCGTTCTGCCGAGTTGTTTTCTCTCCTTGGCCACACTCCCATGGACATCTCTGCCCAGTGTGGCACAACTCTGATGGGCAAACCTTGCCCCCTCAGCTGCCCGTCACGTTGGGTGAGGCGTGGTCAGGCCTGCGTCACAGTTCTGCACCAATCTTCCTTCATCCCCCTTCTCTTCGCTGGCACTAATCCCTAATAAACACCTCACACCTGAATCTGTCTCAGCACCTCCTTCCAGAGAACCCAACCCGCTACAGCCTATACGCTTTGAAGGCACGGGAGGAACTTGCCAGCCAGGTCACTGGAGCAAGTTAGTTCACTCTCCTGAACTCCACTTCCTTGTCAGTGAACAGAGATGAGATTTGCTTCTCAGGGCTGTGTGAGGCTTGACTGGGATCAAGTGTGTACATCGCCTGGCACAGAGCTTGGCATGTAGCAGTGTATCATGTTTAAAAGGAAGCCCCCACAGAAATGGACAATTTCCCACATGGACAGTTTTGTGAGTTCTCTGTTGAGGATAGAGAGCTGAGTGTTCAGTTTTCTGGCCACTTTGTTGATGATAATAACGGCTAATTCATACACAGCATCAACTGTGAGCCAGGCGCATAGGCGTCTTGCATATATTAACTCATTTAACCCACAAACCAATCTGGTGAGGGAGGTACTACTCCTGGTCCCATTTTACAGATGAGGAAACTGAGGCACAGAGAGGTTCACAAACTGGTTTCAGATCCCAAAGATTGGATTTGGGAGAGCTGGACTTTGAATCCAGGACTCTGGCTCCAGGCTCTGTGCTCTTGCCCATGGAGCACACTGCCTCTTGGTGGAACTTTATTCCACGAAGAAGTTGATGCAGAGAAAGGCAGTCCTGCCTCTAACCTCCCACTTCCCCGGGATGCCCTCCCAGAATGAATTTTTCTGAACAGGAAAGAAGAGGATGAGGAAGCTGTCACCTGCCTGGAGGTGGGCTGAGGTCACTAATCCTTTCTGAAGCCTTGAGGGAGGGCCACTCCAACACCTGTGTCTCTCTGCGGCCGAGGCCCAGCTGACGGGAACCACCCGCAGAGGGCGGGAGGGCAGAGTGAGACATGACAAGGGCAGCTGCCTCGCAAAATGCCAGGTGTTTGCAAATAATTAACTCAGCTTTTTCAACGTGTCTTTATTTGCTTAAATTAACAAAATATAGGTTACATGCTCTTTTCAGGTAAACAGGTTTTTCATAGAAGCAGAAAGCAATATTCACAACTTGGGTTGCTACACACTTGGAGTTTTAGTTTTTAAATAGCAAGCCAGAATTCTGTACAAGATCAACATTTGGTGTCACGTTGTCCAAATATGCGAGGATTTTAAATGTTAGCTCTGTTACATTTTGTTCCAGCAAAGCAGACCAAGATCCTAATTCCAATGATGTTAATATTTTATTAAATGCTCTCAGGGCTTAATAAATACAGTATGCACATTGGGCTTCCTCATGCAACCCTGCATATGCAAACGCACCACTACCTTTGCTGAGTCCTGAAAGGCCAGCCTCAGTCTCCTGGCCCGGGGGTGGGGGGTGGGGGGGTCAAACTTTTAAAAAGAGAGAATGAGTTGAAAGGCAACAAGCAGGGATAACCATAGGCCTGAATAAAAAGGATAAAAGAAAAATATGCCACCTGGCCGGTCAGTTGGCTGGTTCAAAGTGACAGTGCTCCAAGGCCTGGAAAGCCTTTGGCAGTGGCCTATTTTCAGAGTGTCACACTGCGATGAACGTCATGCTGTCCTGGCCCTTGGAGTGTGGGCAGCCTTGGATGGCTTCATCCCTCGCTCTCCGAGGATGGCCCCATGGGCCTCCTCCAGCCTTGCATCCTGCTCGTTAGCTCACAGGCAAGGTTGGCCAACCCTCCCCTTAGCTCTGCACGCACGCAGAGCGTGCCATACAACTTATCACCCAAACTGGGACACTTTTGAGAGTTAAAGTGACACTATTGATAATTACCCTGGGACAACAAGTATAAGCCACAGTTGTCCCAGGCAAACCAGGATGTTGGTCACATACGAAACCAAGGTGTTAGCCTCGGCCCTCAGAAGGTCGGTGTATGTCAACCATCAGGTTAGATCTAATTAAGTCTCTCATATCCAGAGTCAAGAAGTAAAAACAGAGTTTCGAACCGCTCCGTAACAGCTTTTTATCACTTTTCCTCGACCTTTTATCCTCCCTCCAAGTGAAATCTTACGTGGAAGGCTAACATACAACACAGACGAAGTGTGGGCTGCTTGGAGTAGAGTGGACATGAGGGCTGGGGGTCTCTCCTTCCCCGGCTGCGCTGGAGGGGCCTACAAGGGCCCTCTGGCCTCTCAACACACAATTGGAAAACCACCTTTCTAGACCATACTCTCTCCATCTCAACGTTAACTTGTTCCTCAAACAGCGTCACGTGATTTGTCTGGGCTGGAAAAGACTAGGGCCTGCTATTCTAGATGTCCTGGTTGCTATTCCAGCGAGGCACACCCAGAACAAACTGGAAGCCTGCAGCCTTGTAGTGGGTCCCGAACACATGGCTCCTGCAGGAATGACTATGTAACGGGACCCCACGAGCTGGCGGCCTCGCAGGCCACTCTGCCAGCTGCCTGGGCCGTTTCATCAGAGGCACTGAGGAGCTTTATTAAGAATGAATTAAGAAGAGTGAGGGGAAGGCAGGCAAGTTGTCCTTCTGAGGACTTGGAGCAGGGTCTTGGCTCAGAGTTGTGCTTGTAACTGCAGGAACCCGCAGTATTGCCTTCCGCATCTGCTCTGCTTGCCCTGACCTCAGGACGGCGTGGCTGCAGGAAACGCACGCAGCCTTGTGCTTTGTGGTGGTGCTGAGGCTGAAAGAGGGCACTTCAGGCCAGGTGGCAGGAGACGTGTGTCAGGACCGACCAAGCGCACGGGGGCACGAGGACAGTGCAGTGAGCTGAGGGAGGAAGCGCGTTGGCCCAGAGAGAAAGCCAGCGTCCAACAGTCAGGGACAGGCCAGGTCTTCCAAAGAAACCCATCGGGCACTCCGGGAGGAGAGGAAGGCAGACAATGAAGAGGCAAGAATTGAAACCACCAACCGAAGGGCAGGTTTTACGTAAACACAAGCACAGAACCAGAGGTGACTGAGTGTGGTCACTCTGTCAACACCGCTTTACTAGGAAGCCGGCCCGCTGGGCTCCCCCACCCACGTCGGTCATCCTCACCCTGGAATCCGGCCGCAAGCACCCAGGAAGACATCGCTAGGAACTGCAGGCAGGCGGTGTATTGTTACACATTCAGGGACCATCCACACCACAGGCATCATCTTCTAGTCCAGCAGATGTGTGTCTACACAATGTGTGTGTGTGTGCACGCGTGTGTGTGTCGTCTCGTGAGGCTTCACAGGACAGGTCCGAGGGCCCAGGTCAGCAGCATGCTTTGAGGTCTCCTGCTCTTTGTCTTAATGAGTCTGAAGCCAGAAACAGAAATATGGACGGAGTCTCCGGGAGGGGTCCTGGAGCCTCTGTCTTAGCTCAGTCTGTTGTTCGCACCCTGGTTGCGTGTAAGAATCATCGGGGGCACTCTGGAAAATGCCAGCGCTGGGGCTCCCCTGCAGACCAATGAAATTGGCGTCTCAGGGCTGAGGCCCGGCACTGCTATTTGTAAAAGGTTCCCCGAGATGATTCTAACGTGCAGGCAGCGTTGAGAACAGGGCCCCGTCCCCCTCCTAGTGACTGGCTGGTGGTTACTCCCATACCCAAAGGAAGTCCCAGCTTAGATTTCAGGGAGCGCTCCTTCCCCACCCCCACTCTTGGGGACACGCTTCCTGCAGCTGCTTCCCCGGGGGCCGGGGGGCCTCAGGGCAAGGTGTCCAGGAGGGAGGTTGCTGGCCTGCAGCCGCAGCACCATCGGGCGGCCGTCTGAAAATCCCCTCCCTGTGCCGCAGCTGATGAAGGTGGCCAAGCGGCCGGAGCAGGACAAGGCAGCCTCAGGTGGGAACCTAAATGTTGCTGGAGTTTCCTTAGTCAAAATCATTCATAGTCTCCCGCAATTTCATCCTGTATCTCTAGCAACTACATGAGAGCATCCTTCTCAATAACTCCCCCTCCTGTGTCATTTCTGGTATTTTTGACCATTTAATAAAGGCAATTGTTATCCATACAACTACTAATATTTTCATCTATCTGGAAAAATATTATAACTTTCGCACATTCAACTAAATAGTCATTAATAAGGTAACATGTCAAGCACCATGTTTTTGCCATGAGAAAGGAATTGACCATGTATGGCATATGAGTCAAAGGAAAACAGGCTTTCTCAGCACCCTCTGCATCAGCTTGCAATTCCAGATCTAGAAGGTTATATACAGTGTATTACGCTGGAAATCCTCAGAACAGTGCTAAAGACACCCCTGCACGTGTGGGGTAAACATCCAGGGCCCAAGGAAGGACCTGAGAGGCATCTGCATCTCTGAAGACAGTCCCTGCTCGGTTAGTTGGAGCCATTTGGGAAGATCAGTGCCCTTCACAGGGCTCCAGCAAATGGCAGCTCAGGCAGAAGGCTACATTTGCACAGCCTGGTTCTCATTTTCCAAATGGAGTTTTAAAACTGTCCTTAGATGCCTAAAAGCACGGCTGGTTTTTCCATTTTCCTCTCCAGTAATTCTTTTAGACTCTCATCTCTGTGCTTGAAGTCCAAGTAATCAGAGAAGGAGGAGCCCCGCCGGGAGCTGAACAGAGCCCCGCGGCTAGGACCCTCCGCCATGAGGCTGCCCCTGCCCATCCCCGGAGGAGTCCCCATGGGCTTGGCCTCCTGCTCCCCGAGGGCCTCCTCCCGCGCCCCGGGGTCTGGCTCGGCCTGGGAGGGCTCCTGGGATGCGCAGCGCCGCCGGCTGCGGGGGGCCAGGCCCGGGCTGCCCCGCTCCCCCTCGAAGCAGGGGTCCTCGTCCTCCTCCTCGTGGCAGGAGCTGCCTCTGGCGCTCTCCCCGTCCGACTGGAACGCCGGCGCCTTGGCCCCGCGCTTCTGGGACAGGTCGAAGGGCTCCTCCTGCTCCAGAGCCCTCAGCATCCCCGCCGTCTGCGCGAGCGCCATCCGGCCCCTGCTGAAACCTGCAGGGGGACAAAGAAGCCGTGAAAAGGGGTCCCCGGGGCCGGGTGGCACAGTGTGAGTCACCTTTTAAACACAGATACATTCCCGAAAGGCTGTGGGGAGATGGACCTTGTCACAGGTGGGGTCACATCAGCACTGCCCCTTCACGGTGGGTTTGGCATTGTGGGCCAAAGCTCAAAGTCAGCCTGTGTCTGACTCAGCACTTACACCACTGAGAACTTGAACGGGAAAACAGGCAGGTAGGTGCCCAAAGTGCAGTGTGAGGATGCTCAGCCCCACATTTTTATACTGGAACTGTGAAAACAGTGTATCTATTTAACGACAGAGGTTTGGTTAAATCAACAATAGTAGATCCACACAAGGAAATACGTGTAAAAGATGCAGAGACACTAATGATCATGAAAGGGTATTCTCTCTACATCTTAAATAAAAAACATATATATTCATAGTGTAGGCCTAGTTTTAGCTATCTATCTCCCTATCTCCCTACCTGTCTCTATCGAAAAATGTCTAGGAGGACGTATGTCAAAATCTCAAGAGTGAGGTGGTCTTGACATTTTTCTTTCCACTTCCAGTGTATTTCTTCTTTTATTATCTTCAATAGCATATACTTTACCATAAGAAAGAATAAAACAATAATAAAGGTATTTTCATCTTGAGAAAAACCCCAAGATTTCATTTGACGCCAAGGAGGTCACCCCATAACCAGGCTCCCTAGGCAGAGGTGGAGTGGGGAGGGCACAGAGGTCCTCTGAGAGGCTCCGACGCCCCTGTGTGTGTCTGTCCCACCACAGGAGTCCCTGTTGTCGGGCACAGAGATGCGAGAGGGTCTCAGTTTTAGTTTCAGTTTGAGGGCCCTGTGGGGACAGGCCTTTGGGCAGCCAGCAGACACGTGGTAGCTTTCTACCTGACATGATCTTGAAGGCCTCTGCCCGTGGTGGGCATGCAGTCAGGCCCTGAGGAACAGGTGGGGGTGACCGAAGAGGAGAAGGAGGAGGGAGGGGTCGGGGCGCAGCCAGAGCCCAGGGCGCTGCAGCAGAACCGGGCTCCTGGGGTGGAGCCGCACGCAGGAAGCTGCTGTCCAGCTCCGCCTGCATTGCTGAAGCCACCTGGAGCTTTGACCTTGTCAGGGGCTCAGGATGGATCTTTTTAATCTGGGTCATGATTTTTGAGCCACTTCAAAAACTAGAGTGAAAAAATGCTAACACCCTTTGCAGGTGAAAACATTAGAATTGCTGAAAGTGTGTTAAAAGCTTTCAAAGCACCTCTCTGATAAATTGTAATGTTCTTTATTTTTCTAGAAGAATGACAGAGTTGTGGTGACCGGGTTAGGCTTTCCGAGGGAGGACTGTCTCCTCATTGCCTTCTAAGTCTCCAGCCCCAGTGACAGAGCAAACTTCATCTATTCTGGAAAAATCCAAGCCTGGCTTGGGAAGCGGCTCAGATAACTCAAGACAGAAAAGAATAATTCAGGGAGAAAATGCTGTCAAGAAAAAACAATTCTTTTGCTTCTTAAACAGAAATTTTCCAGGGCTTTGACACCACTTCCAGGCCTTGTTTTCTGATGACCGCCATTCTCTGTCACCCAGGAGTCACCACAAACTCAGCGAGTGTTGTGAGGAACCCGATCATGCTGCTCCACGCTGTGCCTGCACGTGTGCGTCCTGTTTAGGAATGTGTCTGCCTGTCTCGCCACCACGTTCGTAAAGGGTGGGAGAAGCAGCAAGCGGAAACGAAGCCCGTTTCCCCTAGCGGAGTGAGCACTTGATTTGGAAAGTCTTGAGTTAGAATGCCCGTTCTCCCTTCAGCCCTGCTGTCCGAGCTTGAGCAGTCTGTGTAACACCTCTGGGCCTCGGGCCCCTCTTAAATAAATGAGACTAATCCAGTCTACTGTGTAGAATTGGGGGGTGAACAACAACGCCTCTGAAGTGCCTAGCCCTGTGCTTTGATCGTACTCATGATGAGAGAACAGGAGCTTTTGGACTCACTGCCCTCGAATTGGCCCGGCGCGTGGCGCTGCGTCGGACAGAGCGCACTGACGCCTATTTGTTGAGGGGCGGCTTGCTCAGGTGCCTAAGGAGCAACCTGCTGAATTCAGTGGATCGGGAACAGAAACTCTCATTGCTAAGAGAAGAGAAAGGCGACAAGAAGCTTTCATCAGTTCAGTTAGGACTCAGAGGGGGAGATGGAAGCCTGTGCTCTGCACGCGGGCCCATCAGCCCTACCCAGCAGGAAAATGGTCCTCGGGCGTGTCTGGTGGTGAACGGGAAGAGGAGACTAGGCTGCTACAGACTTGCTTGCTGACAGTGGCGCCTGCAGATCTGTTGTTCAGAAAGGAAAGGACAGTCGCACACCCTTTACCAGCGGGGGGATGAAGTGGATACGATACTGGCTTTAGAGTCAGGAAGGTCTGTGTTCAGATCCTGACTCTGCCACTTTTCAGTTGAGCAACTTTAGACAAATCATATCCCGAAGGCACCCCCAGCGGCTTCCCAGCTGTAACCTAGGCTAACAGCAGTTACTCCAGCCTGGAGATGCTGTGAAGAGGTGAGGAGGCAAGGCCCCCGATGCCGCGTCTGGAACAAAGAGCTAACGATGGTACCAGCTGGCGTCGCTAGCATGTTCCAATTCACTCTCTGTAACTCACCTTCTTACTATCTTCAGGTGTCAGCCTCATATTTGTTATGGTAACATTGTCAGCCTGCACCTGCTACTCTGCTGGGGTCTTGAAAATTATGCTCCCTTTTTCAATAATAAGAATGACTCTCCAAAGTTAAGCCCCTAAAAACAAGTTCAGCTCCCACTTGTTGTCCACTGGCCTCGGCAGCCTGGGGGGCTTCCTGGAAGAGGGATTACCTTGAGAATGGAGGCCCCGCTCCATGACCCCGTGCTTGACCTTCATGTGGCGCGTCAGGTTCCCCTTCAGGGTGAACTTGCTCGGGCAGTAAAGGCACTTGAAGGGTTTGCTGTCGGAGTGCAGGTGCATGTGGCCCATCAGGTTGTGCATGCGGTTGAATTCCTTCCCACACAGCTGCCGGAGAGGGGAGAAGGAGAGCACAGGTTACTGGCGGGTGGGGAACCCGCCCAGGTGGACCCCATCCCGCTGCGTGAGGACAGAAGAGCTGCCACCCACATTGCTTCTGCTTTGTCTGGATCTTGGCATTTCAAGCTGCTTCTGAGGAACGTGTCCCCATGGAAGCCAGGGAGGGGCTGGCCTGTGCCCAGGCTCAGAGGGGGAGCAGGCGTGGATCCTGTCATTCAGGGATTTTAAACTCAAGGTAAAAATTGCAAGGCTTTAAGAAAAGCTTCTTTTGATGCAACCTTTGGAAAAGAACGGAAGCTGATCTGAAAAGCAACTGTTCAAAGTGTGCTTCACTTTAATAATAAGGATACAATGCTTGTTTAATATTTACGGAGCATTTCCACTATGGAAGGTGCTGTCCTACGTCTGCCATGGAACATCTTATTTAATTCCCATACCAGTCCTATGCGATGAGAGTTGTCATCACCCCCATTCTACAGATGGACAAACTGAGGGTTTAAGGCACTTGGCCAGGGCACAGCGAGTGGGTGCTGGAGCTAGGATGACAAACTCAGGTCATCGACACCACACAGTCCGCCACCACACTATACTGTGTCCCCCCAGTGTAACTCTGCTGTCAGACTATGCCAGGCAATGCTTTTCTAATTTTCCACTTTGCTAATTATTAGGATGGATTTCAAAGGTAAAAGGAGCAAAGAGACATGTAAAGGAAGGAGTGTCTTTTCTCTGGGTAGAGATTTAAAGTACTGAAAATACTAGCTTAGGTATACGAAAAGGAAACATGTTTTTCTCATTTCTTTTCATTTCTGTTTCCACCAAAGTGCAAATACACGACGGACCACAACAGCGGTTCTCCAACATCTTTCGGAAGAGTAGAACGGCCTTTTCAAAGGCAATGTGTGCAGATGCAGACGGCATAGAGCAGAAACAGCTGCCCTGGGCACTCACTTGTCCCCACACCTTAGCTGAGCGGGCGGCGGGAAGCCCAGCCCATACTTGGCTGTGCTGGGAGGAGCGCAGAGAAGGATTTTGTGCCTGTGCTTGGATCAGAGTGCAGGGGAGGAACCTTCTCCTTCCTGCCCTACCTCAGAGGCCCACGTCGTGAGGCCCGCGACATGGAGGGAGAGAGACGTGGGGCACGGCATCCTCTGAAGCTGACACCAGTCTTCCTTTCTCACTGAGAGATGTTTTCAGGGCCAGTGTCGGCGATGCTTGGTTGCACCTTTATTCGTGAAAGCCACATCTTCTGCAGGTGGCTGTGGAGGTGGGAGTTGAGCTGGCCTTGGAGGAATGGGTGGACCTAACACACGGTGACCTTGGGAGATGAGCCTGAAAGAAGGCTGGGCTGTAAGAGGAAGCCAGCCTGGGTTTGCAGTCTTCTCACGGATAATGCACGCATGGATCATGAATGGTTGGTTCTGTATTTCTGAATGATTCATATTTGGGGGTTTTAAGTGCTTTTTCCCTCTTTACTTCCCTACCAGCGAGAATGAATTTGGCACACTGGTGTCCCACACTCAGTGCTCAGAGCACCCACACATCACATTCATTTGGAAAAGGTGACCCAAGAGGAAAAAGGCTGAGGGAGTTGGTCTAATTTCAGGAGCAAGCCTCCGTGTGGGACGGCTGCTTGCTTTCTTTTTAGTCTCAACAGAGACAGTCCACTGAGCTCTAGCGACCTGCGCCCGGTTCCGCAGGTGTGGGGAGTTCTGGCAGAGCCCTGCCTCTTGGCTCAGTTTGTCCAGTTCTCCATCTCAGCCAAGGAAAAGAGCTTTGAAGCTCGAGACCCTACACTAGGTATTTCCAGCCGCGGTCATTTCAGGCCAGGTCTTTCACTCTCGTGTGTGGGACGGTCCCTGATTCTCTGCTGTGAGAATTGCTGAGTATGATGAGCTCTTCAGTCAGTATTTGTTTGAGACGTGTTCTCGCTCAGTAGCCGGCAACATCTCTGAAGGCTCTGCCTGCCTGTCTGTCATAATCCCTGCCGGGTACCCAGCTCCACACCCAGTGGGTCCTCAGGGAGCATTTGCTGAGTGAGTGAAGGGGTGGGCACATTGCAGCAGCAGATCTGAAAGCAGCAAAGCTATGGGCAGTTAAGTAGAAGACAAGTAAGAGGAGAGGTTGGAGGCTGGAAGCTCAGTGAGGCTACTGCACTCATCCAAGCCCAGGTGGGTCTCATGGTCCTCTGGGCCCGACAGAGAGAATGGAAGGAAGAAATGGGTGCCTTCTGCTCTTGGCTCCCAGGAAGGGCCTGGGAAGATTCCACTCTTGGTTATTATCTGTGATTGCTGGAGTGTCAGATGCCAGCTGGTCTGAAGGATTCCATGAAGCAGATGGAATTTTAGCCTGGCCTTGAAGTGTGCGGACAGCACCCTTTGCTTTTGTTTTGACACAAGAAGAAAGTCTCTTCATTGACTATTTTCAGACGCTTCAATCAACCATAAACTAGAGGCAAGTAACGAGCACTGCTGTGACCACGACAGCTGCTTGTTGCTGCTGTGACTTTGGGCTTAGAGCAGGTCCCGAGATTCACCTGCCCAGGCTGCCACCACCCCATCCCACCCAAGACACACAGCGGGGTGCACACGTCATGATGGCCGCTGCTGGGGATCCTCCAGATTCTTCCTCGGCCCACAAAAGCAATCTTTTACTATCCTTATCACAGCCCAGTGTCTGCTTTTCTCCTCTAGTGTTTTTCTGGATCAAATCATTCAGTACTGAGCTTCCAGGGACATTTTAGAGGTACGTGGGGACATTAGGACATTAAAACGATATTGTTCCCTGAAGTCAAGGCCTATGGCCTCAGGGAAGGTCGTCTGTGGGACATGACTGGTCAGCTATATTATCTGATGTGTGATTGTGAAAGGAGACTGATTTTTGTGCTGTGGATAAAATTTAATTTTTATATACTAGAGCTATCCTTCGTGGTTTGTGGTAGCCTACTGGTGGCCAGTGGAGAGCTTTCCAAGCCCTGAGTAAAGGTGTGTCAACTCCAAAAAATGTTTGGGACACTGCAAGGTGTCCCAGGCAGTCTTCGGAAATGCAAGGACCTCCTTCTTTTTCTTCGTGGCCAACCTCAGCATCAAACACAGGGTTACACACGTCGTAACACTTGATGACTATCTAGGTATTTGGGTTGGGAGAATAAACAAACAAGTCAGGAAAATATCACTACCCCATGAAAAATCTAAAAGAGTATCTAAAAGAGTTGCCATCACCAACTCTCTTCATTTCCCCCATTAAACCTATACACGCTCATTTGCAAACTCAACTCCTCAGTGGCAGAAGGATAGAGACAATTAACTCAGGACCTAAAGGACTTGGACATCATTCACGTCTCAGTGGGAGGTGCACTTAGCATCTTCTTCGCAGCCTCTGACGTTCCACAAAATCCTTTGGTCCTAATCCAGAACACGTGGCCTCTTCATCTTCCTCAGAAGATTGTCCTCACAGACAATACACAAGTGTGTAGAGATATTTTGTGTCTGTGAGATTGGGAGGGGGCCCTCTCAGTCACTGTTAGGGAGGAGAGGCCGGAGAAAGAGGACTGGATCAATTGCAGATGGTGCCCTGGGGGATTTGAAATGTGAGCTCCAAGCAGAATCACTGTGGTAGAGAAAGGGAGTTGAACTGGACGGAAGAAGAGGGTTGGGAGGGAGCACGAAACTCTAGCTTCTCTTGGGAAGAGCAGCCATCTAAAAGGCCCCCTTTAATCATGAGATGTGAGGCTAGGAGTTTGCTCAAGTCAAGATTTGCTGGATCATCTCCTGCCAAGGTCTGTGGAGATTAAAATAGGGACGGGTGCTGGTCCAGGAAGCTGCTGGAGTGGTGAGGACTCAGGCGTTATCTTGCAGGTGCTCATCTCAACCAGCCCCACCCCGGGCCCCACCGTGAACTCTCAGATGCTCGATGCATGCGATTACAGGATTAGTGTGCCTCTGACATGAAATCTCAGCTTTCCATCCACACCCACGTCCCTACCTACTTTTAAGAGGAAGGTGGACCTCAAAATGTTATAGAAAATTGGAAGAAATGCTTAAATGGGCTGCAAGGATTATTAGGCTTGGAGATGGCAGAGCAGAGGGTGACGGTGAGACCCCGGAGGGATGGAGAGCTTGCTTCCTTTTCTCTTCAGTAAAACATCGATGATAATCATAGTCTCCTATGAAGGTTGTTGTAAGGATCAGATGAGATAATTCAGGTGAATGGCTTGGCAAATAGTAAGAGCTCAAGAAATACTAACTCTTTTTACTGTTATTCTCATGTCCATAGTCGACTGCTTTACATTCCAGAAATAGAAAGATCTTTGAAGATGAGGGTGCTGTCTTTTTTAAACCAAATTATTTGGAGATGATATTAAAGGATGGACCAAGTGAGGAATCCTTTGGGTAAATAAATACCTGCCAGGTTCCTTGAGGCGCACTAGAAATGGAGACAGGCGTGCCTGATGCAGCACCGGGAGTGTGCATGGAAAGAGAGGATTCGCCCCCAATTGCAGGCTTTGCAAGAGCCCGTTATCTGGCTCCCTGATCATCAGTCAGCCCTTTAAACAGCTGGCAGATGCCCGGTTCCCTCATTCCACAGGAGCTCCTAATTCTGTCCTCCTGGCCCTGCTTCCATCCCTGGTCCACAGCCTAGAGCTGCCCCAGGCAACTTCCCGTGAGCCCCAGCGACCATGCTGACAGCCAGAGTCCTGGAGAAGTCACTGTGTGCTGACAGGGTGATGGCAGTGGGCAGCGGCTGGGCTGGGGCCAGAGGCCCACGAAGCCATGAAGAGGCACGCTACTTCATGCCAACGGGCCAGCTCTGAGCCTGAGGACTGAGATGCACCCGGAAGCCTGCACTTGCCTATTCAGAGGGAAAAGGTCAAAGAGCTGCAGCCCAGCCGAGGAGAATGGCCTTCGCTCAGCCGCCCTTCCCTTCCATTCTTCTCTCTCTCTCTTTTAATAAGAAGGGTGTTCCTTTCCTCAAAGGGAGAGAGAGGGAGGGAGGGAGGGAGGGAGAGAGAGACTGTAAACTGTCCAAAAGGACCGTGAGAAAACAGGAAGCTTTGAAAAGTACAAGAGAAAGCAAGATGAAATCTATTTGCAGGCGGGCCCCTGGGGACATGTGAGGCATTGTTAAGAGGCCGCTCATACAGCTATATCCTTCCTTCTGCTGAGGAGGCTTTGCTGCCAAGAGGCTGCTATCTGGTCACTGCCTTAACCCCCTCAATGCCTGCCAGCCCAAGAGCCCAGATCCCAAGCACTGGGCCCCTAAAAGTCCCCACCTGGTTTCTCCCCTGATAGAGCATCCAGGAGCTGGAGGGGAAAATGGAGCCAGTTTGGCCAAGGTGGGGACCCTTTTCAGGGAGACCTCATCCTCTTCTGTCAGCTCTCCCCTTGGCCCTCGGCCCTCTGCTCAGACCAGGCTGCAGATGACCTGGTGATTCATAACTTAGGCAGCTCCCGGCTTCACCCATCTCAAAGGAGAGTTTGTCCCGGAAATTCTGGATGGCTGCTTTTCCTGGACAGGTTTCCCAAAGACGGCAGCTGGTTCTTTGCTTTTATGGAGTGTGGCCACTACAAGGATATCATCCAAGTCAACCCCCGTGTGCTTACGCAGAATCTGGGAAGCGCACTTCTGAAACCCAGCTTAAGTCTACAGGCACAGGGCTCTGGAGAAACTCCAGCTGGCTCCAAGGAGCAAAGAGCCCAAAGGCGAGCCAACAGCAAAGAGCCCAGAAGGGGAGGAATTTTTTCATAAGAATAAAAAAACAGAAACATAGAATGGAAACCTTTCCTCCCCTCTAATTTTCCATCCTATTGTTAAAGCTTGATCCCACAGTGAGCGAACGTTTCTGCCTGCTGTGGACAGCTGTCTCTGCCAAGCACAGAGCCCAGAGAACCAGTTCACGTCACCACAGGGAGCAATGTATGTTAGGAAGGATTTTCAGTGGAGAATCCCAAGAAATTAGAATCTGTTACTGAAAGAATCCCCCTTTTTCACAAGTTTTTGGGTAAAGGAGACAGAGCTAATCCTTGGAGGATGGCTGCAGCGAGGCCTGTCTCTTTTTTCCAGCCACATCAATCACGTGAAGAGAATGACTCTCCCGTTACCACGGTGAAGCTCGGGTTTAGCTGTCCGGTCCTGCTCCCCAGCATCGCCGTGCAGCCAGCCGCCTCTTGTCTCAGGGCTACGAACTGCACAGTGATGAGCAATGGTCCTCCATTCCTCTCCCGACTCCCAAACCCCCAACAACCTCTGCCCAGGGCCAGCTTCCCACGAATCCAGCACAACAGGGATGGGAAGCAAGGTGCACAGGACACCATCTCGAGATGGCCCATCTCACCGTGCAATCTGGAGCGGGTTTACAAAAACCCAGAGCCCCATCACATAATCTGTAAACTCAGATGAGCTCTGAAATTCTTTGTAATGAAAAAGGGTGATGGTACAAAGATGACACCATGTAGGATGACATTTTGCAGGGAGACGGGACAAGTTGAGGAAGAACCTGCTGGTATGCTTCTGGCACTTTCCAGGAGACAGAGAGCTCCTGATGGAGATGGCTGACACCTGTTCTTGTTTCAGAAATGTCTAAGAATGGAGAAGGGCCACCTCAGTTTGACACAAATCCTCTTCAACAGCCAATTCTTTCCATTCTAATGACAGATACACTCTCCTGGGCAGCCCCCTGACCTGTAGTGTGGTCTCCTAGGAGCACCTCCCATCAGGAGGAAGCAGCCTTGCAGGTGACCATCGCAGTTCCTGTGCCAGGCTCGTCTCCCACGGGAGAGTGTAAACTAAGCATCATTTCTAAGCTGACATTCCATGCTATAAGCCCCTCTCGTCAGGGTTCCGTTGGTGTGGACCACACATCCAGAGCCCAATCCACCCTCAGGAAGAAGTCACCTTGAGTTTCTGAACCGTGATGGTGACCGTCAGACACCCTCTGGAGCATGGATGGCACCCTATCGGCAGGATGGTGGAAGAGAGGGAGTCCTGAGACTTCACGCTGGGCTGGCTCACCGCATCGGCGGGCCCAGGCCGCAGTGCTTTGTGCAGTGTTTGCACGCTGGGACTAGAGGGAGCCCTCAAAATCCTCAGATACCACCTGGTCCAAGAAACCCTCCATGTCCCCTGAGGCCTTGGAGGGTGGAGAAGCGGAACTGCCTCTGTGCCCCGAGATCACACCCAGCCTGCAAGCCCCTTCTTGTGTTGGCTCTGCCCCCTGACACATCCCTCCATCTCAGGGACGTTTTCTGCCTGATTTCACCACAACTGCTGGACCTGAACTGACGAGGGAGAGGTCAAGTTGGGTGGATCGGACAGGCATGCATTTTGGGGGGACTGTGAACTCTGCCAATGGCTCCCTTCGTATTCTAACAACCTTATGCGCTCTGCCTCCAGTGTTGACAAGGCAAAAAATACAGTTCGTGCTCAATGCCCAAGAGTAAACTCAACACGAGGAATGAAGACGGTAAAGGGTCCTCGTGCACACCTCCATTACGGGAAACAGCAAACCCCTGGCAGGAGGGAACAGCTCGGTTAAAGGGAAGGGTTCCAGGGTTCAGTGAAGCAGGAAGGAAATCAAAGACGTGCCTAAAGAGAGAGAAGAGGTGGGCCGGGGGGCCCAGGGGCTCACGCAGACAGGGCTGGCTTTCCAGGGGTGCCATCTGTGCTGTCCCCCAGGGCCCCAGACTAGGAAGGTCTTGAACTTGTTGTAATGCTCTCCTCTCACAGTCTTGAAATTCTTAATAACGTTTGAACAAGGGGCCCCGCATTTTCCTTTTGCACCAGGCCCCGTGAATTATGTAGCCGGTCCTGCACGCAGCTTCCTCCCTGCTTCAGCTCGGAAGACTCAAGATGGACACACAGTGACTTTCGAACCACTGGGAACTTGAAGGAAAGGAGGGGAAACACAAGTGGGCGGCAGGAAAAGGGCTGGAGGGAGGGGGCTCCCTCCCCCGCCTCCGGAGGGGCCCGCACAGGTCGAGGGAAGCTCTGGCTCCTGACCCCTCTCACCCCGTCCAGGAGTGGCCAACACAGGAAAGAAGTCAGCTTCGCAGGGGGTTCCTCCAAGTGGGGACATGCAGCAGAGGGTTACAGCAGGAACGGCCCCGGGGCGCAGGGACCGTCCTATAGAGATGGGGCGGATGGAGCCCATCATTTGGACCCCACGGGACAGGCAGCACCAGACAGAGGGAGACCTTCCATTCCAAGCAGAATCGAGCGACGTGGTTTCCCTCATCTTCCCCTCAGCCCTCTCTTCGTGACCATGACCGGGATGACACTTGCCGGTACATTCCTTGAATTAAATCACCCAATCCTGAGCCAGATTCCTTCTCATTTTAGAAGTGGAGAAGAGAAGGGAAACAAGGCGGGGAGGGGTCAGGAGGGGGCCAGCGTGGGGAGCCAGAGCATTTCTGGGTAAAACCAGTCAGCGCCTTGAGCTTTACAAATCTCCAGCTCCAACGTGATTCCTGGGGACGAAATAAGAGCCCAAACCTTGTGCCCCATGGTACTCAGGAATAAAGAGAAGCACTCAGTTCTGTGCGCTCAGTTCTTCCTCGGCCCAAGCAAGCATGTCTGAGGTTCTCTGAGGGGCTAGTCTCGGAATCTCTTTCATCATCTCTGGGAAACCTGCCCTCGAATTACACTGCTCAGCCCAAGCGTCTGGAGGGCAGCTGGGAGCAGAGGAAAGGGCGAGGCACAATGCTGGAAGCTTCTCTGACTGCTCTCTGTGTTCTCCTCATTGGCTTGTGAGGGGAAGAGGAGACGCCCCATGGCTCCCTTCTAGAGCGGGGCCTCCCCACATCACCTTCATCCTTCAGCGGCCTTGCTCCCCAAATGGGCCTCCCCGCTCATACTTCCCACCACCGGCTACCTCACCCCCTGGGCTCTGATTCCACAGTGAGACAAACAGGGCAGCTGCTCAGGGCCGAGCCGAGGGCCGGTGTGAGCACTGGTGTGCATGGGTGTGGTGGAAAGGACAGAGCAGCAGATGGGCCTGGGGTTGGCCGTGAACCCACTCTGAGCCTCAGTGGTCCCATTGGTGAAACACAGTCGAAGGCTCCCCAGAGACCCGGCCCCATGTGGCATTTGCACCACCCCGTGAGCCCTCTCTTTCGGGACTCCTCCCGGGGCCCCTCGCCCACCTTGCATTTGAAAGGCTTCACGTCAGAGTGGACTATCATGTGTGCCTTGAGGGTCTGCTTCTGCACAAAACTCTTGTAACACAGGTGACACTGGTAGGCCCGGATGTTGGTGTGGATCAGCACGTGTCTCTTCATGTTGGCCAGCAGGGTGAACTCCCGCCCGCAGATCCCGCATTTGTGCTCCTTCACGCCCTGGAAGGAGGCGAGATTCAAAAAGCCATGGTTAACAAGTAACACGCTCTCAGCAGGAGTGCAGTCTCCGTGTTTCTCGCCACAGAGGTCCACGGAGAGCTTGGGGATAGATGTTGAGTTCCAAATGGTGTGGCTCTGGCCTTGTTAAATTGCAATTTTCTTGAAAAGTGTTGATTAGACAATCTGTTTTTCCTTCTGAAAACCACTAACTAGCCAGACCTTTAGAGGAAAAGAAAGCCATTGCTTTCGTTGTCCCTGCTGCTGGTGGGGTGAATTCTACAGTGACATTTCTGGGCATTAATAGGATTTTGGTAAGAGCACTGAGGAATGATATGCAAAATGCGCCTGTAATTCGGCTTTCATGATGATGAAAAAATAAAACCTCCTAAACTGATATCACCATTTCCCATATGAAAACCAACGTTCTCTTCAGTTCTCATTAATGGACTTGGAAATCCCAGAAGAACAACTCTTATCCACACTTCAGTAAATCGCAACTTGACAATCACCTCTTGAGATGGCCCCGCCCACCGGGCTCCAACTGGCCACGGTGACCTCTGTGATGGGCCGTGGAGCCTCCTTGAGGCCGGCTTCTGAGAAATTTGGCACGAGAGAGCTCTCTGAATTAGAAAACAGGACAGAAGGAGATTTTCTAGTTTCCTGCTATTTGTGGGGAGTGTTTTGAGTCCTCAAGCCTCGAGGCCTCACCTGACAGCCCGTCCAGGACTCGCAGGAGGAGCAGAGCATTGCCAACCCTCACTCCCCATGCTTCCCCGCCAAGGCCTGTGCCAGAGATCTTGACCCAGAATGACTTTTTGGAAGGAAAACTTAGAGAACTATGGCATTAAAACTAAGGTTATTACAAGTTTAGAACAGCAGCTAAGCTAACAATTGTACCTTAAAAACCCCATATAAGTACCTTCTGTTGCCTGGTGTCCACAGCGATGACCTAAGGCGGGAGGGGGTCCAGGCTGACTCTCTCTGCCTACCTTTCCACTTCTTTAATTTGGGACATGGTGAGAAAGCACCACTCCTCGGTCTGGGCGAGCCCATGGCACCAAAGGGTGAGTTCAGGTCCCTCCCAGCCATTTACTGGCTGCATCACGTCAGACAAGTCGGGTGGCCCCTCCTGGGGAGGGCTCCCTCACCTCAAGATGAAGTGGGCACAGGTCAGGAGGACCTGGGGACCCTCCCCAGCTGGAATACTCTCTAGGCTGGGTGATTGCAGAGGAGCACGGATTTATGCTAAGGAAGAGATCTAAATCGTAATGTCCTCCTAAGAAGACGAGTCTTTAAAATGTGCTGTGTATTCAAACAGTGAGTCTAAAATTATGAAAACAATTTTCTTGATGGGTTTTAAAATTTACTTTAGCATCTTTCTTCTCAAGACTGTCCCTATACTTGGCTATGATTCAGTTGTGCTGGGACCAAGGAGAAGAATCTCCTTTCACTGTTTAGGGAATTCTCTAAAGAGAATTCTGCATCCAAAGCAAAATTCACATGTGGGCTGGCCTAGAACCCAAGTGCATGGGAGCCTGGACACAGCTTTGGGGAACCAAGGAAGCTGCTACGTCTCTAATAGGGTCAGTGAGGTCAGGGAGAGGGAGCCTGCAGGGTTGCTGGGGTGAGGGCAGGAAGGGGGTGCGGAAGGGGAAGTCTTGACAACAGGGTTTGAGCTCAGGCGCTAGAGTCAGAGATTCTGGGTGACACCCCCATGCCTCGGTGTCTTTACCTGCAAATCTGGAGTCAGGATAGCCTAGGCAGCCCTAGAGATGCTGAAGAGGATTCAGTGAGGAGTCAAGCTCCTGGCACACAGCAGGTGTTCGTAAATCCTGCCCCTCTCTGTTTGACTAAATGCATCTTGTTTCCTAATTCAATTGAGGCATTTCAGATACCAGCTGTCTTTCCCATTTTGACTTCATTATCTACTATCTTACAGAATTTTTATAGGCTCCTTTGATTCCACACATGTAGGAGTCCCTGAAACCAGACAACGCTCCCCTTTGTGGCTGAAACTCGGTCTGGGTTCCTCGTGGATGGCTCCTGCACCGGGCAGCTGCCTCCTCCCTGGACGGTCTCTACGGCGCCTTCAGTGGGGCAGGAGCTGTTTGTGCGAGCCCACAAGGCAGCTACACCTTTCATCTCTGCTGCCAGAAGACGCCCCATGTTTTGTCCTAACCTATCAGATGAAACCCACTATGACAGAGCAGAAATGTTACCTTGGCTGGACCAAGTCCTCCACTGACCTTTCAGAATTAAAGAGTGTTTAGAAATTCTGGCTTGCCGGAAGTTTCTCCCGACAAGAAAACCACCTGAGGGGCCAGCCTGGTGGCCCAGTGGTTAAGTTTGCACATTCTGCTTTGGCGGCCCAGGGTTCGCTGGTTCGAATACTGGATACGGACCTACACACCGTTTGTCAGGCCATGCTGTGGCAGGCGTCCCACATAAAATAGAGGAAGATGGGCATGGCTGTTGGCTTAGGGCCAGTCTTCCTCAAAAGAAAAAAAAAATTGAGAAAAAAGAAAAAGAAACAAAAAAAGAGAGAGAGAGAGAAAAGAAAACCACCTGAAGTCAAGGGTGTGAGGGTAGAGGTCAGTGGCGTGAACCTCGCCTTCAGAAGCTCAAAGCTGATCCAAGTCAGCTCGGCTGGGTATGACTGCACGGACACCACCGGGGCCTTGTTTTAGTTCATTCTGAATGACTCCAGGGCTGTGGCTGAACTTAGACCCTGGGCCTGTGTCTCTCCTTGAAGACTTGAGGGCAGGTAAGATCAAACATACCAGAGAAAGATGCTCTCTCGTGCCTCCTACAATACAAACTATGGGGCACTGCGCCCAGCGAGGCAGGGGCTCCCCCAGGGAAGCACAGACCCCCTGGACCCACCCGGGCAGCCTCTGCTCCCCCAGAGCCACCTGCACATGAAGCAGGTCTCACAGGTGAAAAAGGGAGCAAACAATCTAAAAGTCAGCCACTGCTTCAGCAGCAAAAGACAAGGGAATCCTCTAGATTTTTCTAGAAGGCTCTGATTAGTATATCCCAGACACAGAGCTGGTCTTGGGTACGCAGGGCCTGACGACACGTTCGTGCTAGTGCCCTGGATGAAGTTTCCGGAAACGGAATTTTAGGGATCCTAGGAGGCGAAGAAGCCACAGCACAAGGCCAGCTGCTTCCTTCATCCTTGCTGGCCCTCCGCTGCAACCTGTCCGCATCCCTCAGGTCTAGGCCCGCCTTGGACTCCGGACGGCCGGACGGGAAAGGACTCCCCACGCTCCCCGCTTCCGGGGGAGGAAGGACATCAGGGCTCGGGTAAGGGGATCCCCCAGCCGGGTCAGAGGCGGGGAGCAGCGCGGGCGCCGGCCCAGCCCCGGGCCCCGCCCCGTTCCCGCCCGCCCGGAGCAGGGGGCGCCGTACCTTGTGCGTGAGCGAGTGCTGCTTGAGGTGGTGCGGCTGCACGAACTCCATGCCGCACTCGGAGCAGATGTAGGGCCGGATGTCCTTGTGCTTCATCATGTGGTTCTGCAGCTGGCTCGGGTACTGGAAGGTCTTGTCGCACTCGGAGCAGCTGTACTGCACGGGCCCGCGGTGCGTGGTGAGGTGCCGCTTGAGCTGGGCCAGCGTGGGGAAGTCGAGGCCGCACTCCACGCAGATGTTGTCCCGCCCGCTGGCGTGCTTGGCCTCGTGGGCCTTGAGCTCGCTGGGGTAGGCGAAGCCGCGGCCGCACACGCGGCAGTTGTGCGGCTTCACCTCGCTGTGCTGCATCATGTGGCGCTTCAGGTGGCTGGTCTGCGTGAAGGCCTTGTGGCACACCTGGCACTTGTGGGGCCGCGTGCCCTGGTGCGTGAGCATGTGCGTGTGCAGGTGGCTGAGCTGCTTGAAGAGCTTCCCGCAGCGCGTGCACGCGTGCGGCTTGATGCCGCTGTGGCCCAGGATGTGCGTCACCAGGTTGTACTTGGACGTGTAGGACTTGTCGCAGGTGGGGCACTGCCAGCGCTTCTGCGCCCCGCCCACGGCCACGTAGTAGCTGTCGTCCACCTGCACGTTCACGTCCACCCTCTCCACCTTCTGCCGGGCCTCCTCGGGCCCCGGGGGCTCGGCCTTGCGGGGCAGCAGCGGCGCGGGGGGCGGCTTGGGCAGGAAGGCGTGCCGGCCGAAGGGGAAGGGGGCAGCGGAGGGCAGGAAGAAGGGCAGCAGCAGCCCCGGGGGCACCTTGGGGTAGCAGGGGTAGGGCGCGGGCAGGAACGGGGGCGCGGCGGGCTGGGGCCACACGGCGCTCGGCTTCAAGGGCTCCTGCTTCACGGGCCGGCCCCCCAGGGGCTCCAGAGCGCGGTAGAGCTGGAAGCCCACGTTGCACAGGTCGATCATCTGCGAGTCCCGCGCGGGCCGCGGGGGCTGCGCGAACAGCAGCGGGAGGCCCTGGGCGCCGCGGGCCTTGCTCTCCTCGGGGGGCAGCGCCGGGGCCAAGGCGTCCGCCGGCTGGTTGGAGGGCATCTTGGTGGGCATGCTCTTCCGTTTCCGAGACCCTCCTCCTTCAAAGACCCCCGGAAACCCGTCTAGGTCTCCCGGAGGAGGTTCATACCGAAACTGGGGGAAGGGCCCCCGGAGAGCTTCCGGGAAGAGGTGTCTTGGGGGAGCTTTCTCCCGGGAAACCACGGGCTGCAGGCAGTGGGGGAAGGAGGCGGCCCTCTTCACGCCCAAACCGAAATGCACATCCTCATCTTTGATCCTCTTCATTTCCTTCTGCATCCTTGGCGATTCTCCTTTGAAGAGAAGGAAATTGGTTGTTTAAAGAAAAAAATCCCTTCTTCCCTTAAGGGCTTTGGCTAGATGTCAGTACTAATGTATGAAGAGCAATGCTTGTTTAATACTGACGCTCCTTTATCCTAGGACTGTTCAGAATATGTCGTTTCCCCTTGCAAACCCAGTTACTCATGTGGAAAGCAGTGGCCTCCTGGAGCCGGACCTTAGGGCTCCAGTGTAAATCCTCAGCCACAGACCCGTAGCAGTGGGGACAGGAGCGTGGGAGTGCACTAGATTGAGAAGAAACCTGACCACTCATCGGCCATTGTCCCCACTTACGATGAGGGTACGAAGGCCCAGAGAGATGAAATGACAAGCTCAAGTCCCACAGCTACACAGTGCAGGAGCCAGAACTGGGACGCACTCTGCTGCGACTTTGCAGCCCGAGATGGAACTGCATCTGCTAATGTGGCTTAAATGTGTCTTTTAGAGTCGTTTCTTCTCTGAGAGAACCAGTGATTTCCACTGCCTCTTCCTGTCTGGGGGCCTTTGCTGCTGGAGGAATGGGGACAGTGAAAGCTACACAGGAGAAGCGACTTTAATACTTAACTCAGTTCTCAGATTTTCTGGGCATCCATGGGGTTGGGGCTTAGGAATTAAGAGGGAGGGGGAGGTCGCGTGTCCTCCGGTGAAAGGGGGGACCAGCTGTGTCCCATCCTTTCCCTTCTTCCTAAAATTCCTACTGAAAGGCTAGTCTGCCGCTGCTGCCTCGAGGAGCAGACCCGTGTAGGAGATGATGAGAGCAGGGGGACAATGAAATGTGCAGCTTTGTGAGCCTGGGAGGTGTGTGGGAAGAGTACGAAAATGAGGGCGGTGGTGCTGCCGCTGAGGAAGGACCAGGATGCGGATGGAGAGGGTAGAGGCTGAAGGGTGGTCTTTCACGTGTACTGGATCATGTCTTGGCTTGCAATTCAGCAGGTCCTGAGCCCTAAATTCACATGGAGTTATAGAAGGTGTGGCCCTGCTCCAAGAATTTGTTACATCTGTAAAGATAATTGGCTTTCAGACAAGGCTGAGGTGTCCTATCAAAATAGAGGAAAAACAAATGGCAGCTCCTTTCTCTGGAATTTCATTTTGACCACAGTTGGTTTTATACCCCTTTTGGAGCAAAAACGCTGCTCCGACTGGAGAGACCTCTTCCAGGCTCTAAGTGACAAGGGCAAACCACAGCTGAGCCCGTCCAGACAAAACTGGTTCTGTCTGCTTTATTCTGATCTGGTTAAGACTCAGTGACTCCTACTTCAGTTAAAGAGCTTGACTGGAGAATGAGTAAAAAAGAGATGTGTCAGAGCATGGGCCAGAACTTACTGAGTTTTTTGTGTATTTTATTGTTAAGAAAATATTTGAAAATGCACAGCTGATGACATCTGGTGCCTTTATACTGTGTGCTGTATCTTAGACTTACGTGGAAAGGAGTTATCACTAATTTTGAATCGGAAGGTGTTTTGGTTTATACGCATTCTTATTGCCTTTGCTCGATACTTTTGTTTTCAGTTGTGACGTAGTCTCCTAGTTGACTCATTTTAGCATATTAGGAGTGGCATTTCTAATATAATGCTAATTTCAAAAATATATTTCTTTTCAGTGTTTGCAGTTTTATTTTGTCTCTACTGACCTAGTAAAGCAAAGAAACATTACTGAACGGAGGCAATGTGTTTTTTAACATAAATGGCAGAATTATGTACCCCAAATGCACTTACATATGTACATTTTAATTTCCTCCCTCTTTTAATATGATACAAATTTTCCCCCAGTTTCTGACTTCTGCATATATACACTGTACCCCTAAAATAGTAGTCTGCTTGCTCTGGAATAAAATCAGTAACTCAGGAGGTTTAAAACAGCATTGTGATCCATCCATGGACATTTTTTCCAGATCTTTGAAACAGCAGTCTCCTTCTGCGTAAAGATCTGAAGGAGCACTGCCTTTCTCTACAGAGGTCAAGGAGAGCTTGGATCTACTTCCTCTCACCCTTCTCGAGAGAGAAATCAGCTGTAGCTGCTGCTAGTTATTAATATCCCTGTCTTTTGAGCACAGGGTGCTAAGAAGAGGCCCCAGGGGGTAAAAGAAAAACACGCGGAAAATAAATCCATCCCAGGGACGGGTGTGTGGAATGGAGGAGCAGGGAAAAGATGTCTTCCTTGGGAGATCATTTGTCTTGAAATGAGCCAACTTAAAACTCTGAGCAGCCTCTGCAAAAATATTAATAGACTCCTGGAAAACCTCACTGTGTGCCACCCATGAGCTCCTCTCTGTTTCTAAAATAGGTCCACAGGCATCCGTAACAGATACGAGATTCCTATGCAGGAGGTGAGAGAGGCTTGGAGGCAGCGAAAATCTACTCAGCCAAGGCAGGGCAGGGGGCGGGGAGCTGCAGGCCCTCCCCTGGTCAGCAAGCTGCGGCAGCTCCCAGAAAACCAGGAGGTTGTAAGATCGTTGCCCACCAGGACATGCTGAAACAATAAGCAGAAAGAAAGAAGAACTGAAATTGTAGAAGTACACAGCTAGGGGATAGTGGAAAGATCTTTGGTCTGGAGCCTGAGGATCTGGGTTTGAATGCTGGCTTTGTTAGCAGCTGTGGGAAATTGAGCAAGTTAATTTGGGGGTTTGATTTTTCTCATCCGTGAAATGGGGGTTGGGATATCCCCGTAGGGTTGTTGGTGACTTAAAATAGAGTGTGTATGTGAAAGTCTGTTAAACACTAGACAATGTGGTACCCCTGAGGGTTAAGAAAGACCGGACAGGAGAGGAGGGCTGGGGTGGTGACCAATGGATTGATGCCGACTGACATCATCTGTTCTCCAAGCTGAAGATCTTGGTCACCATTGACTGGCATCTGGAGCTCTGCTTTGCAAGTTCAAAACCAAGACTACCCATTTACCCTGAGTTGGTCTTGTTGCGGTGGTGAATGGGGACCACACTCAAAGAGGCCAATAGGTAAGGCCAGGATGAGTTCATTCATTCAGTGTGATGAAGCTTGTAGTTTAAGAATACTCCCCCATCCTTCCTCTATGGCCCTCTTCCTGCTGTGGAGATATCTTCCGACCTACGTTAACAACATGGCGTTGGTGAGTGGGGGCCCAGGGATTGGGTGTCTCGTGAACTATGGGCAGCCAGAGAATTGCCCCAGTCTAACATCAGAGGTCACCTTCCTAGAGACAAGAGGACCTGTTTGTGAAACCCAAAGTCTCAGACCCTGGGACAGTGCTGGGTCAAAACAAGCTCTCGCAATTCCTGCTAGACTGCAGGGGCAAGGACTGGGTCTGTCCACTCACGGCTGCATTTCTACTCCCCAGCATGGCGTTTGGCACGAGGTGGATCCTCAGTGAACTGCTGTGGGGTGAGAGAACGGATGAATCCTTCTTGTTTTTAAAGTCTCCACACAGAACTTTAAAATGTGTAATTTTACGGGCTGGCCCAGTGGTGCAGCAGTTAAGTTCACATGTTCAGCTTTGGAGGCCGGGGGTTTGCCAGTTTGGATCCTGGGTGTGGACCTACATGCCGCTTGGCAAGCCATGCTGTGGCAGCGTCCCACATATGAAGTAGAGGAAGATGGGCACGGATGTTAGCTCAGGGCCAGTCTTCCTCAACAAAAAGAGGAGGATTGGTGGCAGATGTTAGCTCAGGGCCAGTCTTCCTCAGGAAAAAGAGGAGGATTGGCAGTGGATGTTAGCTCAGGGCTAATCTTCCTCAAAAAAAAAAAAGTGTAATTTTATCTGACATTATTTAGACTGCAGGTGACTTTTGGGTACGTCCCTAATCAGATCATGAGCACACTCATAAACACTCGGGTGGTTATGGGAAGAACTCGATATACACACGTGTGTGTGCTGTTGCTTACCCCCCTCACTGTCCAAGGGCACCTCACTGTCCACCGTTCTCTGAACTGACCCTCACGTTCCAGGTAAGCCCTAAATCCTGGCTACACTGGTGCCAGGGAGCCATCCTTAGAGTGCCACCAGGTTGTGCAACCCAGTCAGAAAACAGATGCACAGAAAGTCCAGCGGGCAGTAGGAGGTAGAAAGAAAGAGCTCTGAACAGAGAATGTGAGCCGGAAACCAAGCGTGGGTGGTCACCCTGCACGCTCCCACCCAAAGGAAAAGTTTGGGAAGTCAGTGGCAGTCCACCCTTTGTACTAATGTGGGGGTGGGGAAGGAGAGGCCTTAGAATAATGGTGCATGCTCATTACTGTGGTCAGAAAATGTTCTAAGCTCCTGGCTTTCTTCCACATAAACTCAAACACCAAACTCAATAGGCTATAAAGCAAATCGTTTGAGGAGGAAAATATTGGGTTGATCTGTGTTAGGGGACTCTGGGACTCGGGATGTGTCTCTAACAGGTATCATCCATGAGAGTTAGTTACGAGGAAATGGGGAATGAATGGATTTTAAAAACAAAAACAAAGTCTCCTTTTTGAACCATGAAGACCAATGAGAAATGCAAGGCCCATCCAAGATGAAACTACATTTAGTTTGGGGGAAAAAAATGCTTCTAATAATGCCCTTTAATTGGGAATTCACCTACTGCACCAAAATATAAATATTCCCCAGATAAAATTACTGGTATTTTGTGGTTCTCATTCGAATCGAAGGTCATTCCAGTAAATGCTATCAGGAGAGTCATGATGAGTCAGCATGCCCAGGGCAGAGCTGTTCGTCTCCACTGCACAACACGGATTCCTCTCCATCCTGGAACTCAGGAAAGAATATACTCTCACATTCTTTGCTCCTTGAAGACTTCCGGTGTTTCATTGGAAAATGTTCCCTTTTACTCTTGGGGACACTGGCTTCCCTTTTGATGTGAGAGAGTGGCGCTTGACTTGCATGGTCTATCCTGGGGCTGTGCTCTCAAGAGAGGGAAGCAGGGCAGAGGGGAGGGTTGCGGAAGAGTCTAAGAATAAGAAACAAAGGGTGGGGGTTGCGGGAGGAAGGCAGGCTGGGACAGAGGTGGACTGACTCT